ATTTTACTATATAAAAGTGTCATTTCCGGTCATCTAGAGCTAGATTTCATAAAATTTTCGCACCTCAGGCCCAACATAGTGGGCCCGAGGCGGATGTGGGCTGACGTAATGTCCCCCCTTACCTTTCGAAACATGTCTGCGGCCTTGTCAAAACAAAACCACACCCCCCTTCCCCCCGCGCCGCTTGGTGTTTCGCAAATCGCATTATCCACCCCCCATTGCTAAATCCTAGATCCGCCACTGCAAACCATGTCAAAGCAAACAAGGGCTTGAAAAGTCCTTGATTCAAAGATGTCATTAATCAGGAATGTAAGGTTACCACAATGCTCTCCTTCCCGAGAATTTATGATTCAACTGCTTTGATCCGCACCCCTAGATGTTCCACCTACATAGCATTGTTATCCAAGATTTTAAAGAAAACCTTGTGAAAATATACAGTAGTGGACCAACGTCAGGTGTTTGGTTTTAAATTCAGGGGCGGATTTTTGGGAGGTTAAAAAAAAAAGAAAAAAAAAAAGAAAAAAAGAAAGAAAAATAAAAAAATAATAGCCTCATAATGTTATTTTCGGGCGGCTATAACACAAAAAGTTCGCGGGGCATTTAAAAGTTCGCGGGGGCAGTCCCTGGACCACTAGGGCAGTGTTGTCTTCATCGGCCCAACTTCTGCCCCCCTCCTGACTGACTTACCTACAAAATCCAGCTAAGATAGGTTTATGATTACTATAATTGATTCGGGATGCGACTTTGATATAGAGTACCGTATAAATATAATACAGTATTCTATTGGGCTTAACTGCATAATCCTATATATATTCAAACTTTATTTCAAAAAACATATACAGTATAACAATATACATTTTCTGGTAAAGTCTTGCGACTAGTTACTACACGCTGCGATATCAATTCATACATGTTTGAAACAATTTCGCCCATGAATCTTTACCTATGCAGTCAGTTATTGCTGTTTTTATTATTAATATAATTACTATTCGTATTGTGGATTATTATCATTATCTGTACGGTATTGTTTTTTATTAGCTTTATTATTATCATTACTTTTCACTTTACGACGTTTTAGGAAGCATCACATGGGAAGACTGGTTAGAGGGAGCTAAACAGAGAAAACATCTTTTACATGAAGTTTTCAAAAGCATGGACATGGAAGGACTTTTTAAGAATGAGGTAGATGCAGTCTGCGAAGTGTTGAGTAACAAGGAACTAGTCGACGTGTGTGAACTACTGAATCAAGCTAACAACAACATCCTTCTGTCGATTACACTCAACCGAGGAGATCGTTATGAGTATACAGACGACGAATTCAAAACGTTATCAGAAGTCATTTTGGCAAATAATGACCGCTCTCTGATAGGAAGCCCCGTAAATTTGATGCACTGTCTCTGGCACACTCCTTTCTACAATTCAACACGCCGAGATCTTGAAAAGTTGAAGACGACAATACAACCGTATATTGACTCACATCGTGCTGACTTCGACAGAGAGAACATCCGTGACCTCATAGATGGCTATCTAGGAGGGATTGGAGAAACATCGTTTGATGTGCAAGAAGTTATAATCAATATCTCTAGTCTCTTTCCATCCGCATGCTCTTTGCGAGCTACAATGCAGTATATTATTCTGTTTGTAATAAGCGACGATGATGTTCAAAAGAAGGTAGGGATTTCCTCTTTTGTCCGTAATGACCAAACTTTTTCAGAGGTATTGTTGAGATAAGTATTATTTGCGGTAAGAAATAAAAATAAACACAACAGATGGGCATTAGGGGTGAACTTTTGCCAACCTGACGTGTATATCGTACTGAATACTTGGTTAAGTCACAGCACCTATATATACGTATACCGTAGGTCTCTGGTTTGCTTGGAAATTATTACAATCCTAGTGAGTTGTGCGATGCCAACATCTTTTTCAAAAGATGCCTGTAATGGGCATTATTCACATAAAAACATATACGCCCGTTTTCTCGAAAGCGGACTAACTTTAGTCCTGGACTAACTTAGTCCACTTTCGAGAATACGGGCCTTTGTGAGTTTGATTTCCACTTAAAATTACTGGTTTTCCTCATTACTTTTGCTGTAATCTTTTATGATTTTGATATTTTGTAGTCCAAAGCTTAAACCCTCCTCAAATGTTAAATGTAAAATTTCTTCAACTGAATTTTGATTATTTTTCTTATTGTTTTTAATACAGAGAACATTTTCATCTGAGCTAATCTCTATATCGCTACTAAAAATGAATATACTGCAATGAATGCTTGAGGATTTTAATACGTGAATATTTTTATTAGATTCAAGAAGAGATTGATCGAGTTTTGAATGATGCTACTGAAGAGTACGATGAAGTTTTAGCTGATAAGATACCATACATCAACGCAGTGATCAAGGTGAGATCACTAATTGGTAACATCATTATTCTTATCATTATCATCCTCATCATTATCATCATCAATATCGTCATCATCATTTATTAGTCACCATCATCGTCTTCATCCTTAGACCCATCATCATTATCTTCGTTGTCGTCACTATCATCATCATCGTCATCGTCGTCGTCATCGTCATAAATATTACCATGATTAACATTATCATTATCATCATCATTATCATCATCATTATCATCATCATCATCATCATCATCTTTATCTTTCTTTAGACAGGAGCAAAAATTGGCAATTATCCTACATTTTCATCCTTGTTTGGTCGTCTTGTTCAACAATTTCATTTTGCATTCAGGAATCTCTGCGATTGGCTAGTCCAGTTGGTCAGCTGCTTCCGCATTGTCCAATCAAAGATACAAAGTTTGAGGGTTACGAATTCAAAAAAGATACACCTATTTTTACAAACCTTTGGGGACCAAATCACGATCCTGAAAACTGGCCGGATCCGTATGTGTTTAAACCTGATCGCTGGTTGGACACTGACGACCTGCCAACATTTGTGCCGCTTGGATCAGGTAAGTTTCGAATGTATATGTATATATGTATATATATATATATATATATATATATATAATCATAAATCACTGTCACATTTTGTGATTGTACGGTCTCTTGATCTCTTGAAACCTGCTCCTTTGTTCGCACCACATAGGTAGAGGTCTGGGATTGCGCCAGAGCAGAGGTGGATGTTGACTTTTAAGAGACCGTGCACTGCTTGCCACCACACCTTATTACTACTATATTTATTATCATTTTTATTTTAAATCTGTTTTAGTTGTTGTTAAGCACATTGAGGCAGTTTCTGGCAATATGCGCTATACAAATAGCAATTTATTATATATATAATATATATATATATATATATATATATATCAACACTGTATTTACCTTTTATTGATGATTTATATATATATACAAATGTATATATATATGTATATGTATTTATATGTATGTATACGTATATATATGTATATATATATACATATATATATACATATATATACATATATATTAGCATACAGATGGTGTCTATTGAGCATAAATCAAAATTCGCTTCACAAAGAATGAAAAACACATATCTTAATCAAATGCTACTGTCCCATTGAAGAGATCAAACTGTGCACACAACTGTCTTTTCTTTCTTGTTTTTACATGTATTATTCGTACTTTGGTATGTGCATTTGTTCGTCCTTCTGTTCAATGGCGTATCTAGGAATATTGAAATGGGTGGGGAGGGGGTTGGTGAGCAGTGGCGTCGAGAGGGGGTCAGGGGGTCGCTGCCCCGGGGCCCGGGTCTACTGGGGGCCCGGTCCAAGATAAAAAATTTTCGGGGTAAGAACAAAATCTCCATAGGGCCCGAGCCCAAGCCAGGATGAAAACTTTTGTTCTCAGATTTAGGAGGAGACTCAATTTGGGGAGCGGCCGAGTGTGGGTACCATGTGAAGGGACCCCATGTGAGGTGTTGCCCCGGGGCCCTTACTGGCTCTCGACGCCACTGTTGGTGAGGTGCGAATGTTAAGTGGGGGGGGGGGGACTCGATAGTTAACTGGTGGGCGCAAGCTTTTTTTCGGGCAGGTACACATCTCCCCTCCCCGTATATACTGCTTCTGTCTACTCAGAAAAAGTTCATCCAAATAATTATAATGTTCTTTTCTATAAATCTTTATTATAATACATTGAATATTTAATAATAATAAGCGTATAATACTTGCATTTTGTAGGACTATTACATATTGTTATTTTGTAGGATTAAGACAGTGTGGTGGATACCCAGTGGCTTTTAAAGCACTTCGCATACTCACGTTTACTGTTTTCAAGAGATTTCATCTGAAAAGTGTCGAAGGGGAGAAGCTACCAACACTGGAAGATAGCTTTATGTTAGCTGGTACTACCCATCCAAACCACTTCAATGTCACTGCAACACACAGAGTGTCTTAGGCCTGCCGATAGAATTTCTATGTTACCATCTCGCCCTGTTTCGTCGGCTCGTGTAGCTTCAACGGTACACTTGATAATCCCCAAAACCAAACTGGAATCCACTACCTGAATTGTGACCTAGTAGGCTGATGATGGATTTAGAGTCTGGATACGTTCCTGACGACACAATCTAGGCTTATATGGAACTAAACTAACTATATGTTTTTACTATATTATTAGATGGAATCTTCGCGAAATTTGTAATTAACATTTATTATGTTTTTCTAGTTGTATTATTATTTATTATTTCTGTTATTCTGCTTATTCTAATATTTAAATTTAATTATACAATAGCTTTTTTTCCAAATTAACTGTAGGCCTACTCCATGATATATTGGGTCATAATACTTAGTCAGGACCCTATCGACGCAAAATATTGTTTCAATTTACAGTAATATTTTACTTGTGGTAAATTGAATACCGTACTGTATATGTTTACTATTTTAATTATAGACTAATACTTTTTGTTAGAGAAATGAAATATAATTTCTTTTTACTAAACTTTGAGAATTTAGATAAAGCAAAACGATGTATATAAACAGGATAAATCTGGGTAAATGAGCTCTCTGAACATATTTAATTTTATTTTGCTTGCGCATTGCGATAACTTTAAGTTTACATGCAAAGAGCATGGATTTGCGGGAGATAGGTTAATTTCTGGGAAATCATTGCTTGTCTGCTTGCGGGAAGGCCGTCCCGATATCCGGGAAACTCGGGACCCCTGTTACAACAACATGTTGCAGTATCAAGTCATGTATCACTACGTTATGTAAATGAGGTAAATGTGAATGTAGGAAGTAAGCCATTACTTGCAAGTTCATTGTGCTGAGTTTGAGGGGCGTGGATTTTGCTCACTGTTGCAGCAGTATGTATGAGGCGCCAGCGTAATGAACCAGCATCAGGGTAGACGGTACTCGAGCCACATATGTAAAATGGACCGCCGGCGTTTAGGCATTTTCCAAGAAGACATTTTCCAATAACTAGTTTAAGGCTGTAAAAATGGCGCCCCTGCAATGTCATGAATTCAATCGACTATCATAATTATTATTGTTATTATCAAAACTACTGTCCAATTAGTATACATACAGATACAGGTACAGATATTTTTTTATTGTCATTTGTCAGAGAGAAATTGTTATGCTCATGTTAAACCTGTTAAATTAGATAAGTTAAAAGTACAAGAAAACAACGAAAATCAATGAACTATGTACCGGTATCCTGGGGGGGGGGAGTCGGTCATATTCAAGGGTCGCAGTCTGTATACCACACTATTAACAATTTATAGGGTGTTATAGAGGGCCCTAGCAGATTCCTAGAAACAGCAATAATGTTAAATTGACAGTTGAGAACATCTGGAATTGTGATTGTTTACAAAATATAATATAACTTTTGCTTATGAACTATAAAATAACAAATCCAGTTTATTTTATACTTTTTAATTGTATCGAGTGAAGATAAAATAGATGTACAGGTATTTGAATTTGAGTATAGGCCATATAATATCTCGTGGACATTTGGCTTACGGCTTTTTTATTACTTTTCTGTGCGTCTGAATGTCAAGTGGTTCTTAGGTGATTAGCTTGAAATATTCATTTTGGTGCACTGTAAAACCAGGACGCAATCTTGTCCCCGCTTATGGTGACACGTTTAAAAGATAAAGCCAGATTTCCATAAAATCGCTACACTGTCGCTTCAATGTTTTCAGTGTAATCGTTGTATTGTATTGCGTGCGGTGCCCGACGCAATCGGGAAAGCTCCTAGATTCTGATTCTACCAACCAATCAGCACCGAATAAAGCTGCCGGCCATATCGTGTAGCGATTGTATGAAAACTCAGCCAAAAATAGTTAAGTATACAGTATTTATATTATGTGCTGAGGATCTTGGCGTGTATAGTTTAAGAAAAATGCTTAGGTATTTCATATCACTGGTCTATGGTATGATTAATAATGCCAAAGCTCATTTCATGCTAGGCACGCACTGTCGCTATGCCTAAAACACGTTAGCTTTTGCTACGCCTAAACACGTTCATCTTTTCAACTTACTGTATCACCAAAAGTGGGACAAGATTGTGTGTGTACCTTCGTGTTTAACCATTCAAATGGGTGTCTAGAAAACTAAGATCTAGAAAATTAAGACCTAAGATATCTTAGTTTTCTAAAACTAAGATCTAGAAAACTAAGATTTGTACAGTCATTGTTCAGGAAACAATCATTAATGCTAGATAAATATATGAGGAAAGCAAATAAATAAATAATGACTATCTAGGAAGCTTTAACAATCTAATGAATTAATCCAACCTGTAGAATTTCCATTAATTCAAATAAAACTATGCCAAATGGTCTGTACAGTAAAATCAAGGATAGATTACAGTACTTCCAAATTCCTTAGAAAATATGAATCCCACTTCAGAGATAATGGTACAACCTTATTTTACTGGTTTAAAATCAAAATAACTCATGATATAATGGTACAACCCATCATTAAAAATCTTAGTTTTTCTAGGTCTAGGAAAGTAAGATTTATCTTAGTTTTCTAGATCTAGAAAACTAAGATATCTTAGGTCTTAGTTCTCTAGATAGTTTTCTAGACACCCCATTCAAAGTACGGTTTCTGTCTTTTGTGGTGTAAAATTGATGATGTTTAATTTTCATGGCCTTGGTGTCCTTTCTAGCATTGAGGATTTGTTTACTGCTAACATATTTATAATAATAAACGTTGCTAAATTCACGCAAATTCTTGTACCATGCACGATTACAGTATTCATGTGAATGTTAGTCCTTCGTGGGCGTAATCAATGCCGATGTTATTTTGATTACATCGCTACAAACCCATGACCTAAGACATGCGTGAACGTAAATAGCAATAGTAGTAGTATTTCATTTCTGATGATGGACTTATTGACCTATACAAATAAATAGCATGGCTACTTGGAGTAAAGAAGAAGAAGCAGTACACCGGGTACAAACTTACACTAACTTTAATAAAATGTACAAAATATGTCTTCTTAGGCCTGCTTTTGTAGTACAATACGCAGGCCGTCTATGATGGGCGATCCAATAACTTTCTTTTATGCTCAAGGGTAAGTTCAAGGTGAAAAATCATCGAATTTCCGTGAATTACTTTACCTTGCCTTTGAACTTTTCTTTCCAGGGGTGAATACATAAACATATCATATAAGAATGATAATAAATTTAGATTGCCTCGGCCTTCAAAGTATGTGTAGGCAACTCCCTGGTGTAGGCTAGGGAGAGGAGAGCTTGGCCCAGGCTAGAATTGTAGTATAATAGCCCATTTTTCCCCCCTGTTTACTGTATTTTAATGTCAGTTTGCTTATAATTTATTACACACATAAACCACAGAGGTATTACAGCAAGCTTCACCACCCCACAAACAGAAAAATCCAAAGAATATAGCTATCTATATTTTTTGGTGAATCCACCGATATCCAACCTTCGCCCAAGCTGCAGCGAATTAAGTTCAGTGAAGCGAGATTGCACATGCACTAGTAATGCCCACAGACACTAATGAATAATTCATGAATTTTTGCTCAACTTACCTACGATAAAGAATTGCATCCGGTTCGGTACCGTATCAGAAAATATTGGTCTGCTGCCCCCTACAGTTATACTGACTTTGCTTTGGTTTTGAGGTCTATACATAGGCCAGGAGCCTATGTTTATGTGTATGTGTATATAAATATACTGTATAAAATATGTATATAATGTACGTATACATATAGGTAATATACTTTGTTAAAGGGCTATGGCTATCAGTGGCATACCGGAGAAAACATTAGGCCTATTAGGTATTTGTTCCATAAGGCATGCGAGCGAAGCGAGAATTTAGGCTTGGGACCAGGGGGCAGCCAAGGGCCAGCTACGGATATTTGCCGAATTTTTGTGTTTTTTATTATTTGACTTCATAATAATTGTTGTTGTTGAAGGTTGGCTTATCCACGATAAACTAACTGGCCTAGGCTAAACTACAGCAGGCTACAGTCCTCGACTTGTCTTTGTTTTGGATTACATCGTCATTGCTCTAAAATTATTTTTGAAATTTTTAAGGTATTAGACTAATACCTGAATATCTTTCCGTAATCATGCTTGTAATAACATTCTCCTCCCAATGAAGATCTTTGTTGTTCTTGTAAGGAAAGAACCCCATTGGAAATAAGTCATTCCTTCACTTTATAAGTCATCCTTGGCTTTGATGTTGTTTTTTTCTCTCTGTCGATTGTCGATGTTTCTTTTATGACTGAATTTTATTGTTAATGTTTTAATATGTAATGACCTGATTTTTTGTTTTTTGATCTTGGACGCTTTTTTGAAATGATTTTAATGAATTTTTATTGTGTGTGTTTGTTGTTATAAAGCCGAATAAATCAAATCAAATCAAAATACGCCACTGATATATAAATCAGTGGCACATACCTATATTTATCTAATATAATTATGATGCATCATCGAAGTTCTAAGTGCTTGTTTGGTGAACATATAAAACGAGGTCTAGAAAAAGATAATAGGCGGTAGGATATAGGCCTAATACAATTTATTATACGAATACGCCTACTGTCTTCAGCGTAATGCCTATTACATATACCCTGTCTCTTATACACATCTAGATGTGTATAAGAGACAGATATATATGTGTGTATATGTATATATATATATAAATCAATAGGTAGACGCAGACAAAATAAACTGCTACGATACTTTGACTTGTAGGAGACATAGAAATATTTTATTTGCGAAATTTTCGGCAACTCCTGCTACCTTCTTCAGCGCTTGAGTATCTATATATAGATGAGGACGACAGACCATGCCGTGTTGCAAGCTGTAATAATAACAATTGCCCGATGTTCTTTTTGAAATAGACAATTTATCGATTTCCTGATGTTTAGGTTACTAAGTGTTAGATGCTTAAACCTATTAACATCCTAAAGTGTTTATAAATCCCTATGTTGTTTTCTCCTTTGGATCACTAATCTGAACTTGAGTCGGCAGTCGTGAAAGACGTGTTGTGTTCTGATTCGCAATCCAATTACTTTGAGTATATCAATACAAGATTGACAAGCCGGTGTTTTGTCACCTCAGGTGTCCGCGAATTGCAATGATCCCAGCACCAATTGACTGCTGTGGGATTCGTTTACCGATTGAAAGGAAGTGATCTAACCGATCCAATAAACTCAGGCATCAACGAATCAGTTGTACTAAACTATTACTGTAGCTATCAATTTAATTACATGTTTAAAGTTGGGTTGATCTTGGTACCAATTCACTAATCACTTGGTCAATAGCAGAAGAATAGGATTGTGCAAACATTAATTACATAGCAATGTTTGATCGAATTCGGTTAGATCAGGCATGTTCACACCTTTTCAAAAGGTACTTGCTCAGGTGTGAGGATACAACTGAATAAAGGAAGCAATACCGTGTCGATTGCTAAGTGTCAACATTAGGGTCAACATTTAATTTAGCGGGTAAGTTTAATCGTGTCGCTGCATTAAACACAGTAATTACCTATATTAAGTAGATCCACTACGAATGGGAAATGAATCCACACCGATTGTTAGTAACTTGTCAACACTATAAACAATACTGGTGGTCTCTTTGTATGAAAAATTAGATCGTGCTAAAAGTTTGTTTTACTAATTTGCACATACATACATTCGTATTCCGAAAAAAAATAACACGATGACACATTTTGTCAAGTGGGGTAATAATGTTGATGGATACAGAATATACTTTGAAAAACAATCAATACAGTTTCCATGGTCCAATGTAAACCTTTAGTTTTATAGGACCCTGGAATATTGTGACTGTGGCCGATGATATCTCACGGTAATTCTGCCTCTTGGCAAGCACTTGGCCACCGTTGTTTTTTACCCACAGGTAGTAAAATGCATTCAAAAGTTGTTTGTCGACAAACAGCGACCAAAATGCTAAACAAATCGTAACATAGTAGTATAAGAGTAAAAAGCGCAACGTGCTACCACTGAAGACGTGCTGAGTACTAACAACTTCGACATTTTTCAAGAGGAATCTTCAAGATGATTCTTCAGCATTCTCACGGAGGAAGTATCCAACACACATGATAGCCATAAAGCATGTATTTTTAGTGATTATAGTATATAGAATATAATATTGCACTATATTCCTGTGCTACTAGACAAGGACTCTAGTAGCCCTTTTTGGTCAAAACGGGCGTGGCGAAAAAAGAACTTTAAATAGGCCGCAGATTTAGGCATACACAAATAAAATTAAATCATGTCACTAAAATTTATAATATATAGGCCTATATATATATATATATATATCATCAAAGAAAGTAAATACAGTATCTTTGATAATTTATATATAATTTAACTGTGTTAACGGCTATCTTGATTTATATTATATATATATATATATATATATATATATATATATTTATATATTTATATATATATGTGTGTGTGTGTACATACATACAAATAGATTAATAATAAACAGTGCTCAGATAGGAACACAATGTTATATATTCGTATCAAGCATAGCCCTTCAACAACAAGTTCATTTTTAATTTAGCACTGATTATTGAGCACTTATTTATATTGTGTTTACAGTGCTCTATGCAGCAAACCTTATTTGAATATTATATAGGGCCTATATATATATATATATATATATATATATACATAAATATATAGGGCCTATAGGCCTATATATATGTGTGTGTGTGTGTATTATAGTAAAACATTAATAAGGATAATTATAATTAATGAATATTACATAGGCTAATATAAAACAAGTGTATTTTGCTGTTAAAATTCAGGTTTATTTATGGTGAAAAAGTATAGCCTATCGAAAAAACACAATTGCGATAAAAACGTTATTATTTTCCCTCTATTAAATCATAATCAATGGTTCGGTATCACAACTTTTATGATGATCGTCAATGAAATATTGTAGTTTGTAGAGACATACCGCAGATATGACGGGTTGATGACACCATATAATGGTCTATTACGTCACAGGTGAGACTGACTTCATCATAGGTCAAAATACCAAAAACAACCTCATAAAATAGCACTGACCATTGATGTCTGTTTCTCCAATACATGCACTGTTACATCCTGGCTCCAGTTTACATTTCAGCCTGCTTGTTTTCTACTTTCTATTCAGATCAAAAGATCCCTCAACAATGACCTCCACCTCAATTCGGAAATGGTAACTTTTCGATATATTGTCCCGAACAATACAGTCAAATTAATTATTTCCTTGACAACGACAGACACAAAGTAGAAATTCATTAAAGGTAACGAGCTAATCTCTTACACTTTTACACTATTGTCGGCGGCCTTTCATTATGAAGCCGACAAAGTGACCAAGTCCAAGTAGGCCTACTTTGTTTTGGAAAAGAGGTACTGTATTCCTTTCCTATAATGGTCTGTTTACTCCAGGCAACAGCGTTTGGTAAAAATCAAACAGAAAAACTAAAAACAAACGTCGTATTGTGTGACAGACGTATTTTGTGAAGCTTAGTATAGAATTGGTTAAAACTTTGTTTTTGTTCTGGCATAGATATATTAAAGATGACCGCTGTGACAATAACCTTTTTAGTGTTTCTATTTTTTTAATCGTTTCTGAAAAACGAGTGGTTCAAAACATGAATGTTGAACTGTGTTTTTAATGGAAGTTACTTTAGTTTTAGGATCTACATCAAAAGAGGAATTACTCTAGTGAGGCAGTGTCTCATGAAATGGCGTGACTTTGAATGTCTTCTCAAGAATGTGGTGTGGTGGTTAAGATGGGCGGTTTCTAAATCGAAATCCTATTTATTCGTATCCTACAAAATACCAGGATGCTTAGTTAGTTCAAAACAGGTTCACTTCTTCTCCTCACGCTAGACTAAAACTTTTTGCTGAGAGCATCATGGTTCCAGTCAATAATTATAGCAAGTTATTGTAGTCCATAACTGTACATATCGAATTTGTGTTAATGTGAGACAGTTTTAATCCTTTTAAGGCTGCACTTTCGGAACCAATAAAACTGTCCCTAATAGAGGCTAAACCGAATAAAATTGGGAATTAAAATACAACATCATTCACAGTAAATACACAAATAGGTTTATTGCATCATGACACTAATTTATTCATCTATTTTCAGTTATGCCTTAAGGTTGACTGCCAAAGAGGCGATTCATATATTCATTGATGTTTTATGCAGCTAGAATTTTAATTCAGTTGCTTCTTGAGTTTATAAATATTAAATATAAATAAATACAACTCTATATATTATGCTTTATATGACAATCGGTCTATTTGAATATTTACTATTCTGTTATGTATCATTAGTGGTTAAGTGTGTTGTGTAATGAATTTTTATGCTCAATAAATATGTAAAACAAAACAATCCTTCAGAATTTGTAAACACCATTCGGTTTATTCTCATTTACATATTTTTACAGAGAAACAAATAACATAAACGTAAATATACATCAGTTTTTTTTTTCCAAAATATAAAGATAGTTCCGTCTTCAAATCGTAAATTACATACTGGAACTCTGTAAGTGCAATTTCACTCTTTCGTGAATGAAATTCAATTATGAGTGATTTTTATTATTAATATAGTGAAAAATTCGTCAAATACACTCTCAGAATGAAATCACACTCGTTTTCACTCTTTATTTCACTCTTTTGGAGTGAGCCCTGTAATTATTTTTCACTCCTCTTTTTTTCAATTTTTAGGATTTACTTGAAAAATATAGACCCCCCTCCTCACCAATTAATCACACAAAATGACCAATACACACGTCAAGCACGGTTTTTGGTTTATAAAAGCAAAAAAGGTAAACAATAAAATATGACGTAATAAATGATAAACATATTTTACTTTAATCAAACTTTTGCAAAACCTAAGTATCGTATTTTATATAATTCTTCAGCAATTTAGTATTATAAACATATATATATTTGTTACAAACCGTTTGCACCGTAAATTACCTGAGTGTTTGTGAATAGAACACATTGAATTATCAATACCCTGGTCCATAATATAAAATCTAAATTATAATGTAAGTTAACATTGCATAAGGTAATATTTAAATGATGGTTCAATATATATAATTAAGTGACTACCAGTGCACTTCAAAATTATTAAGACCCGCTTGAAGTTCAACTAATATCAACTTGTATAAATGTTCCAAGTTTAATATACAAGAAATAAGTAACTTTTATCACAATCACTGGATCACAATTTCGTAATAAACAACAATATTATAATATTATTTATTATCATGATTATATTGTTTTTATATATTAAACAAAATTAATTAATTTTATTGCATATTTATTCCTCCATAATTAAACTGCGAATAATTTGGATGAAAAGTCGTCGCCGGGTGATACGGTAACTGACCCCGGAGAAAACCCTGAACATCGTTGAAATTATCTTGATGAATAGAGCACTGTGTTACCGGTGATAATGTAGGTGTCGTATCAAACGTTGATGCTGAGAATGTTGTTGGCGTTAACGAAATTGTCGGAGACGATCTACTCATTCGGAAAGCGGACGACACCGGGTCGTTGTTAGAAGGGACGATGGGCGGGACACTCGAATGACTACCGACTGACTGCCAGGTAGGGGGATACTGAGTACATGGTGGTGCTGTTACGGGAGTATGAGTTGGAATGCTAGACCAGTCACTCGCGGGATGTATCGGATGGGATGACTCTGAATAACTGTGCCCTGAAAATGAATGATATGTACAGCCTTACTTACATATTAATATATAGGCCTAGAATTCCTGTATGTTGTTAACGGGTCACTTTAGGACCATTTTCTGTGCAGTGTCATACATGAGAATCCTGTCGAATATCATGTAGGGCCTACTGTGCATATACTGGCAATACACAGACACACACATTCTGCTCAGTAATAATAAATGAAAAAAATTACGTTGTACATACTGTAAGTTATTTAATTAAATATTAGAGCGAGAAGCAGAATTCTTGGCCAATGAAAGTTGAAATTATATAGGCCTATATATATACTGTATTTATCTTAATTATTTGCATATAGCCCTACATTTAACATTCTGCAGCAATTTATTTAAGAATATTCGTGGTAAAAACAATCTTAAACTGTAGTTTGTAGACAGAACACACGATGTTTTTTTTTTTTTATCTCCCGTTATCTTCATGCCGCGGTGGTTAAGGTATTCGCCTGGGACGGATGTTTTTCTCGGAACGGGGGTTCCTATTTTTTCATAAGTCTAATTATATTTAAAATCATAATCGACTCTCAGGATACCCATATTTTATAAAAACATAATAAGCTACCGGTATTTATAAAACGATGAAATAATTATGTTTTATTTATATCAAGCTCAACATACCTGGTGATGAATGTTTGATCTGCCTGCACGTGGGTTTCGGGTACGGTGATGTTCTATGACTTCTTAAACCATTGAATGTGTCGCAGCTTGGGTGCGAAAGCCGCAAAGCTGGTTTAAATGGTGAACCCGAAGCGTACAGAGAGCTTGGTGCCGAGAGAATCCACCCGCTCACTGAAAAAGAAAGAACGGCCAAAATCGTAAAATAAATCCCAAGAAACGCTGCTACATAGATGAAATGCATGGATATGAGATTCATTTGCTGTTATCGAAATATATTTCCTTGTCAAAAACATATTTTATTTTTTATCTATTTATATGTATATTTTTATAAATATTTCTTCTATCTTTTGAACTCTATCTCTAAGATTAATAACAACTAAATATAGGTTTAAAAGTTATCAGATGCAGGCCTACTTACTATGTGAATATGGTAACGGTGGATTTTCTTGGTAGAAATCGTCGCTTCGTTCCTTAATGTCGAGGAAGGCTTTGGCAAATGGATTGTGTTTAATTTTAAGTTGAGTAATCTGAAAGAAAAAAGAGATAATTATAATTCGTAAAACATCAGTTTAATAACTAATTCAATATCAATTATAATAATTTACTATTGATCATCTTTACTAATGCTGATGCATCCAACATTGCTTATGGTTTGGGAAATATATTCAACTATTGTGTATTAGGTCAAAAGCAAGATTCCAACACAATTTGGGTACAATTTAAATGTGTTGTTTGTTGATAAGCAGTAAATAACAACGCAGAAAAGTTAAATGTGCCGCCAAACGAGTCTATAGGCCTAGGCGTAAACCCATCATTTACAGCGTTCCCCATGTTTGGTTAATGAATAGGCCTACTTGAAACATATAGGCCTACAGTTGAAATACTTTACAGCCTGGTAAGGAAAGAAAGGAAATAACACGTTCTCGGCAAGGAAAGAAAAATTACCTCTTCGTTTTGGTAAGCGGTGACGGCAATAAATTCTGTTTCCGGGAAGGATTGAGCTGTCAGTCTTTTTTGCTTCTCGGAACATCCAACTTTTACGACATGGATCCGTGGACGGTACTTACGTAGTGACTGTAACATTATCTATATTTAAAAGAAAGAGACGTCGTTATAATTGTTACTATCAAAACTATATCGATACCCAAACGCTAAACCAAAATTAAAGGCCCAGACAAAAATAATACAAATTTGTGACATAAAACACCAATTCTGAGTTAAAAATTACATTCAGAACATTAGCCTACCTGCCCATCGCTACTGTCTTTATTCGTTAACTTCACTTTAGTGAACGAGACTGTCTTACTCATCCAGTGCGAGCCAAAGTTTGGCGAATCCGGATGAACGTACGAACAACTCGTTGCGATGGTCTCTTGCTTACCGCTTGATACCCATTCGCCATTTAAATACTTCCATCGTGTTCCGTTAGTTGGCTCGAAGTCCACTATTACGGAGTACATGGCCTTTGGGTCTAAACAATTTATTGAGACAGATAGGACTGGGAACATACGCCTTTCAGAAAAAATTGAAAACAATTATTAGTCATATAATACCGTAGCCATAATATATATATTAACAGGTAAATGATAGAAAAAGTGCTCGCATTTAGAAACAATGATGTTATAAATGTATCAGCTGATATTTGATACGTTGGTAAGATTAAATAAATACACGTTGACTATATTTTACATCATACTATTACAATATATGGATATATACCTATTCATTTGTTTGTTTGAATTCGCATTTATTGTATTTTTTTCTGAAGTACTTATTATTAATACTTTAGAATATTACATAAGGTTAAATGAATATAACTTAATCAAGATTTGAATATACTGTAATTCCATGAGATAACAGGCAAACAAATTGAGTTCAGTTTCTGTTGATTTACAGACATTTTTAAATTCTTAAAATGACTACCTGCCAAGGATTGAGAGAAAGGTACTATTGCGTTAATTTAAGAGGCATGAAAAGAAAGCATAGGCCTATAAGAATACAATAGACTTCTAACCTTCCACTCTTTGTAACAATCATTTCGTTTGTTGCACTGTTAAATTTTCGCCATAAGTGAGATTCAGCAAGTGTAATCTTGATTTTACTTTCCAACGGACTGTCCTTCTCGTTTCCACTTGCTAGTCGTCCTACTTGATTCACAATTCCTGTATTTGTCAAAACGATGGGATCTTCGGGCGCCATAAGTAAAGTTACAGTACAAGGAGCTCCAAAGACGCTTCTATCTACGGATATGTGTATCAGTTATACAAGTGCTAAAGTAATATTAAGATTCAAACGTTCCGCAATAGTATTTACAGTTTAAGGTATTTTTTTAAATATATATTGTTACAGCCAAAGTCGCCTCCAAAGTATTTTTGCCCAGGCCCACTGGCGAATCGAGTGTAAAATGTGTCCAACCGGTCAAATGGTCAGATAAGATCCATTATAGGTATTTTTATCTCGACTACCTGTTACCCACTTATCTTTTTATAGTCTGTCAATCCTATCTAGCGGCAAGATCAAAAACATGTAGATTAGTGTGTTGGTGCCAAAGAGTTCCAATGTTGGCAATTCAAGTGCACCTCTTGAATATTTATTACAGGGCGTCCGTAATTGGACAATGAAGTACGCGGTGATGAATTGCAACTTCTGATTGGCTAAGGACGTTTTGTGTTGACAAATTGAAGTTTACGAATCCGGTTAATTCATAAAACTCGTCAGTTAGGCAATGAATCGGCAATTGTTAGAGAAGAAAAATCCGATTTATGGACAAATGTTTGCTCTGCAAGTCAGTGCAAGCTTGTTGTAGTAGTTCTTAAAATACTTCGCATGTGACTCACCTGTTGCGTATACACTATTATTAGAAAAGTTATTAAAACTAAATAGGTACCAAAAGACGCATATACTCTATATCATAACACTGCTTATTGTTTTATATGCCATGGAAGCATGCATGGTTATTTTTCATGAAATATCCCCACGGAAGCGGATGAATGTAGAGGGAATAAAAACTAGTGGCATTTATTCTTTTACCACCAGGCATTAGTTTCTTCAAAACTATGGATTTATGCACTGACAAAACCACACTCATACGTATTAGAAATCGACATATAGAACATGTTAATCAATACGTAAAAATCAAACAGATACAGCGTAATGTAATTGAAACCATTCACATATTTTAATTGAAATACCGGTATAGTCTGGCAAAAGTTAACATTCCCAAATATATGAATATATTTTTAGAACCAACCAGTATTATCGTGACAAAGTACTATGATCCCAGTGAGCAATTAATCATAAACTTAGTATGTATAATTTTTTTTTTAAATAGCGAGTTACAAATGGCCATGATGACGTAACTCGTCATACTAATACGTAGACTCGGTTGGGTTCAGATTCTAAAAGCACAATGCAAGAACTGGGATGCAAATAACTACACGTGTACACTTTAAGGTAGGTGAACAACATGACGTGAACATTACTCATTAACTATCACCAAGCCTTCATATTATATTCAACCCATTAGCATACATAGTTAAAAATATATTTCAGTAATCAAATAATGTAATTATATATTCAAATTCAACCATATGTTTTGATGTTTAACATGTATACTACCCTGTGTGCATTAATCGATAGATAGACCAACTTATTAAAATTACTAACAAGTGTATATGCTAGATATTTTCTAACGGCAGTGGATTTTTTTTAAAATGATAAATCATTAAAAAAATACAGTAGTATCAAAGAACAATGTATATATGCTACCATTTTAAAAACTACACCATTTCTAAATATTAATAAATTATCAATCAATTGCATTAAATAATATTGAAGACAGATATATGCCTATTTCAAATAAACTCCCAAATAAATATGTGAACAATACAGAAGAAGATAAAGTCAATGCAAATTGTAGGTTGGTAAGTATGATACGAGTGTCCCAATCAAAGGCTCCTGGGTTGAAATACAATGAGGAACATAAAAATAAATTAAATAAAAATAAAGACATATGTTGTCAAGTACGATACGAGTGTCCCAATCCAAGGCTCCTAGGTTGAAATACAGTAAGGGAAATAATTTTGTTTGTACTAATCTACTTCTGAAGTCTAACCTTAATTTATAGAGTAATCATTCTATCGCATAACTAGCGAGTGTACCGGTACTTGTAGCTGAATATCACAGAAATATAAAACTTAATCAAGTAAAGTTGTGAAATATTGCATGATTACCGACTGAATTGCTCATTTAAGGGCATTATGTGACATCACACCCATATATAGGCATGATGATGTCATATCTTAACATCAGTTTGGTGGAGTTTATATAATGCTGTTAATTCATTCAAATTGCCCAAAGGCGTGAAAAGCAAATTTTCGTTTCCTCATGAAAATTTGAATATTGGGGCATCCTGGTATTATGTGGAAGATCATTCCATTAAGGTTGCTTTTAACCCTATATCTTGGCACAGAGAGGAATTGGTGCTTGTTATACCGAACACACATACATGAATGGGTATGGCAGTGTTTAAGAGCTTTCAATTCAATTCAATGTAACATTTATTTTCTTTTCGTATAAATATAAAATGATAATATAAATTGTTGTTTTTAATATACGTAATTGTCTTTAGTGCACCATTAAATTCTGTTGAAAGGAAGGAGTTGTACCCTAGTGGTTACAATGGTTTATTACTGTTACTATAATGGGGAAGATCTTGGATTTGAGTATTTTTTGAGTTGGGTTTCATTGTTGTTGATTTTCTGTTATTTTTGGATTTCCCAAGCAGTAGTAGGAAAAGCCATTGTTTTTGTTCCGATTTCTTTTTTCCTTCTTGCATATAGTTTTTCCTATCATTTTGCACAGGGTTTTTCTTCTTCAAACATTGTCCAAGCAAAGACCATATCAAAAATGTGCATACAAAAATATGACATTATTCTACATATTTTGAATATTAATAGCAGTCATAGTTAGCATTTCCTGATTTCGAGTTGGTTTTCATGTTATTTAACTTCACAATTTTCTGTATGATTTCATTTTTCTTTTTTATGTGTTATTTTACTCTTGACTTAATTTTTTTTTTTTTGTAATTTCAAAATCACTTTTCATTATAATAATGAGGAAAAGCCATATGTTCTGTTTTACAGATATAGCAAGTATAATTTTAATTTTTAACTTTTTTACACGTGTATTGCTTTAGATGACGGATATCTCTGTTGTGTAAACTGTGCAGGGGGATGGAATGCTTGTGCGGGTCATTACACCTCTATCAAAGATGTTTATCAGCTGCATTCTTGGTCGGTTGATGGGCGTCCCTGGTTTGGTCATTCTGAGTGGGTGCTCAATTTTGTGTATACTGAGGATGTTCCTTTTTAGTTAAGCTGCTTTAATTTGTTTTGTTGGCTTTCATTCTACTTCTAATCATGATCCCAATGATGATGTAATTTTATTTTACTTTTCTTTTCCTTTTTGTATTGTACAGTATACGATTATCGTATTGTTCACCATCATTGAATTTTTATTTGATTGCAATTTCTAAAATTTAACTTTGTCTTTTTTTTTAGGATGAACTGCTGTTGTGGTTGTGTGCCACTGTTTTAAAAGTGCATGTCCAAATAAATAATAATAATAATAACAATAATAATAATAATATTATTAATAATAATAAAGGTAAATAAACGAGTGAGTAATAATACTAATAATGATAATAATAATTATTATAAGGTTTGACTCGTGGCAGTGCAAGTTCAAGTGGTAGGAATTAGGCTAACAAAAAAAATTCTTGTGTTGGCAAAGTTTTGGGAAAATAAAAAAAATGAGTAGGTCGGTAGGAAACGTTTTTTTTTTTTTGGTTTTTTTTAACCATGTATTGTGCTTATGCCTAAAAAATAGAAAATATAAAAAAATACAACAAAGACCATTTTAAAATCTATATTGAAGAGCAAAACGGTCTCATAACACTGTCGCATTGCCTACCATCCACCAAGATAGGCCTATTCCAGGCCTAATATTTTTTATTGTAGTCGAGAAAACAACCAAAATGCTGATCAGGCGTGGCCAACACAATAATTTGTTTTATTTGGCCTTAGCAGTTACCTGGAAAATAAACACTCGTATATAATTTTCCCTTTGCTCTAAATTCTATAATTAGAGAGGGTGAAGCTGTAGCTTTGTGGTTAAGACAATTGCTATCCAATCTCAGCGTATTGGGTCCCAATCATGTGTTACTACTAGGATTTTCTTTTTTCAAGACAAAACACAATTCTATTCCCTAAATCTCATAATCAGACAGACACCAGGTGGTTCGGTCTCCAATTAGAGGAATAAGTTTAACAAGGTTTTTAGTTGGTACTAAAAAAAAAAGTGGTTTGGAATTAGGTAAGCCTCAGGTGTCGAAATGGGCTCGGAGGTTTTTGGAAAGTTTTCAAAATATATAGAATTTAAATCGTCCAGTTGATATTAGCTTTTCACTACAAAAGCACTTGGTTCATGTTGTCGGTTCAAACGTGACAACAAAATTCAGCTTTAGAAAATTACCCAGCATGCATTGTGGTGAAAATTCAATTAATTAATAGTAGTAAACCTTTATACAGCAAAATCAAAAGAAATTGTTTTTCTAAAGATTATTTAACCTTATACTTAATAGGCACAATCAAATATCCTCACAATATTTACAAGTTTGTATACTGTATATAAACTGCTGAGGTGCAATACTGTAAAATTTATGAGAAATTCTCACAGAGTATGCTAGTGAGGAATGACCTCTTCCTTAGTATAGTGCCCAAAAGTCAAGTCGTAGGATTTGAACTGCGAGAACTGACGATCCTGACGTTTAAATCCATCATGGAATGATTCCCGGAGTGCGTGATATGACGAGACACATTTTGCTACCTGGAAAACATATGAGATATCTTAAATCAGGTCTAAAGTATTGTTTGGTGTTAATGCATCATAAATACAATCTACAAAGTTGGTGCAGAGTTAATAAAATGAAGCTATAATATTTTTACTCATAACTTTGGCAATAGTAAATTGATGCCAATAAATGACCTATCATTTTAAAGCTTCAAATATGGACAACAAAAATATATTAAACAGTCGCTGGTCACTAATGTTGGTTTTGAGATGGCTAACCCCATATTTATTGTGTCACAATGAAATTTAGGCAAAACTGATTACAAAAATGTTTTAAAACTAATTGTTATCAATTGAATTTGAATGAAGACAAACCTTGTTAGCAAAGACCGTCATCACAAACTTCCCTGGTTTGAAAGTTTCCAAAATGCGTTTCACAAGGTCATCATAACAGGGCTGTCGAAGGAAAATCAAAAAATATATTTTCATCAACATATATTCAAAAATAATACTTATTATGGAGTTTTCCCTTCTGACATCTAAAAAAACAGGTCACTACACTTTTTCCTAGTATGCATTCTGGTAAATATGTTTTGAATATCCAGAAATATGCTGGGTAGGGATGTTGCTTAAGACTGGTCAAGTGGGTGGAGGTGTGGGATATATAGGACACTGGATATCTCTTTGTAATTACAATGATTTGGAAAAGTAATTAAAACATACCATTTCTGCATTGGTCTCAAAACTAACGTACGACCATTCCTTCTCAGGTGTGATGTGAATTGTCATGTATTCGCCCTAAATAAAATTAATATAATCATTGAATTACCATAATATTCTTAATGTAATACCATGATGATATAATAAACAAGATATTTTTAATTACTTCGATTGTTTTTTTAACTTGATTCATTATTGTGCACTGTATATTGCCTACCATACTTCTTGATTGTATTTATTTTTGATTCATTATTGTGTTGTATTGCTTTTATCATTTTAGTTATACTTTTTATATTTGTATCCACTATTAATGACAATGTAGTTAAGTTTATTATCTCTTTGTAGTTTTAAGCTTTCTTCATTGAATGTGATTTTATCCTGGTTAAGTAAATTGCAAATAAAATAAAATTTCTTACATTTGTCATTAGACCATTCATTGAATAGCCACATGGATCGAACATGGTAGCATCAATACTGCAGTCGGGCAAAAGTTCTGAAATACCAGATGCCTGAAAATACAAGAATATCATATGATTACAGAAAATATAAAATAAAACAAAAATAATTGCATCCTTTGTAATGTAAGAAACAAATGCAAGTAAGCGTAGGACTACTACGGTGTAGGTAATGATGGTGTTAATAAAATCTACATGCACAACCGGTTTCAGTTATATTAATATATTTGTTAAAGCATTTTATCTTTATAAATGTCAAAACATTTGCTTCAAGGCATTAATTATGCATGAGATTATGTATTTAAAATATGTATTTAGTACCAGTATATGTATTTATGCAGATGGTGTATTGACAACCACCATGGAATTATGGCAGATGATCAAAAATCTATAAAAAAAAAAAAAAGTGATTGAAAAAATTAAATAAATTGAATAAAGAAAAAAAAATAGTTTTACAAACCTTGGTGACCTCTGTAGCTGTTAGATTAGAAGACTTTTGGAAGAGAGCCATTACGTCCTCATCCAGATCTGTCATGAGTATGTATATTTGAAGGTTAAAGAGTATCATTGTCATTATCATTACTAAAGCCAGGGTCAAGGTGGGAAAGGGAGTGGTCATGACTTTTTTCCCTCAGTTTTTAATATTCAAAAATCTGTATCTCATTAACTGTTTCTGAGTTTTTCGTCAAACACCTTATTTGTGTCTTAGAAAAATCAGTTGTATAACATATATTGCTGTCTCTTATACACATCTAGATGTGTATAAGAGACAGGGGATATATAGGACACTG